AAAAAAAAAAAAAGAAAAAAGAAAAAAGAAAAAAGAAAACCACTCGAGACCATCTGCTTCCTTAATCCATGGGCATATAAACTAGACTTCACGGTTCTCATGGAGACAAGCTAGCAAGGTAATCTAAACTACAAAATCAATGAGTTCTGGTGACAACTAAAACCAGTTTTTTAACTGACCAAAAGGTCATGTTTGAGTATCTACCCACACACACACTTTAAATTTTTTTTTACTATCTGTCCACAATCTCTCAAGCTTTCCCAGGGTACAGGGAACCCTGTCTTAAGAGGCTGAAGTCAGCCAGATGTGGCAGCACAAGCTTTAAATCTCTGCACTAGAGAGGCAAGGAAAGGGAAAATAAAATCTCTACCTGTCTCCCAAGAGTTCCAAACCAGCCTGGTCTACAACAGTGAGTTCCAGGACTCTAGAGATCTGTATAGAGATCCTGCCTGAAAAACAAACAAAACCTAAGGGACACTGACACAGAATTGAGAACAGATGAGGTTAGTTAGATATGCCTCAGATGGTGTATCACTGTCAATTCCATAGTCAAGGAGATTGTGTAAAACAAGGGCACAGACACATTGAGCGCAGACGTGTTGGTTGTTGGTTATCTCTGGGTTTTTTTTTTTTTTTTTAAGACAAAGCAAGGAGGTGGTAGTGCACGCCTTTAATCGCAGCATTCAGGGGGCAGACTGTGCAAATCTTCAAGTTCAAAGGCCAGCCTGGTCTACAGAGCAAGTTCCAGGATGGCCCAGGCTACAGAGAAACTGTCTTAAAAACAAAACAAAAGGGCTGGAGAGATGGTTCAGGGGTTAAGAGCACTGACTGCACTTCCAGAGGTCCTGAGTTCAAATCCCAGCAACCACATGGTGGCTCACAACCATCTGTAATGGGATCTGATGCCCTCTTCTGGTGTGTCTGAAGACAGCTACAGTGTATTCATATATAATAAATAAATAAATCTTTAAAAAACAAAACCCAACAAAATAGCCTCCTATAGCCCAGACTGGCCTCAAACTCGTCTTCATCCCTTATTCCTTCCTAATTCCATTTGCCAAATGAGCAAGGATTCTGAAGGTAGATAAACGCTAATGCTGAAATCTAGTCTCGGATAACATAAGCCCGACACAGCAGACAGCAGACAGCAGGCACCTTACAAACAGCCACAACAGGTCTAATAGACTGGACCTACTTACAAACAGTTACACAATGTGTCAAGCCTAAAGAAGAGAACAGTCTATAAACACACACGGGAGAAAAGCTCAGTGTGTGGGATTTGAAATCTCTTGTACACCTACAGTTAATCTTCTTTCCCAGTCTGGGCTGGCCTCAGCTTGGAGCAGTCCCCCTTCCTGCCTTGGCTCCTAAGCACGAGGGTTGGAGGTATGAATCCACACTGAGCTTTCCACTACGACTTCAACCTGCTCGACTCTCCCAACAGGCTTAATACTAAGAAACTTACCGCATCAAACTTCGTGAAGAAGGACTCTGGCTTCTTCTCTATGTCCTCAGTGTCCGCCTTTACATCCACCATGGGGTTGAGATTCTGGGCTCGTTCCAAAGAGGCCTCGGCCCTATTTCGGCCCACAGACCCAGTCCGAATCAAGAACTGAGCGCCAGGGTCTTCTGGAGATACCTAGAAAAAAAAAATTCTCCTTAATTCTTCTAGAAAAGAGGAAACCTCAGTTGAGAAACTGTCTCAATTAGACTGGCCAGTGGGCAAGTCTGTAGTGCATTTTCTTGATTAATGGCTGATGTGGAAAGGACCAGCCCACCCAAGGTGGTGCCATCCCAGGGCAGGTGGTCCTGGGTACGAAAGAAAGCACACTGAGCAAGCCAGGAGGAGCTGGTAAGCAGCGCGTTTCTACGGCGGCTTCTGCTTCAGTCCCTGCCTTTGTTCCCCTCCACGGACTTGGGACATGTAAGCCAAACAAACCAACCCTTCCCTCACCAAATTGCTTTTTGTCAAGTGTTTTATCAAGGCAATAGAAACTCAGACAGGGCTGGAGAAATAGCTCAGTGGTTAAGAGCACTGACAGTTCTTCCAGAGGTCCTGAATTTAATCCCTAGCAACCACATGGTGGCTCACAACCATCTGTAATGGGATCCGATGCCCTCTTCTGGGAGTTTGAAGACAGTGACAGTATGTTCATATAAATAAAATACATAATTTAAAAGAAAAGAAATTCTCAAGACAAAAACTGGTACAAGCCTAATCATATTATTCATGTTGTTTTTGGGGAGAATTGTGGAAGTATTTAGGATTTAGGGCTCACAATTTAATTGGGCTTCTCTGTAAGTAAGAATACTGAAAGTGGTGCAGATGTTGGAGGCCTGGCTTGTGAGGTTTCGAAAGGAAGCAAAGGTACTATCAGGGCCATGTGAGTGATATTCTGAATTAGGAATTTGCAGTCCTGGTTAAGCTGGAGTGAGTTGAAGAACTGGCTATGATTACTAGGAGATCCGAACCACTAAAATGAAAACTTCGCTCTGTTGGGACAATACTGATACTGTCAGTGGGGCTGAAGACTCGGCTGTGATTAAGAAGTTAACAGGCAGCTGGATGTAGTAATTCATGTCTTTAATCCTGGTGCCTGAGAGACAGAAACGGATCTGAGTTAGAGTCTGCTTAGCTCTAGGACAGCCAAGGATATAGACAAACCCTGTCTCAAACAAAACAAAGCAAGAGGTCAGCCAGCATCACTGAGGCAAAATCTTGTAAGGAAATGTTTGCTCAGGGTCAGCACACAGCCGTGGTCCAGATAGGGCCAAGACCGTACCTTATAATAGCAGCCAAAGGAGCCATGGAGAGCAGCTGAGGTATTGCAGGGTCAGAGTGCCTGAAGAGAGCCCAAAAGAGGCCTGTGGTGAAGATGCAGCCCAGTTGCCACAGAGATGCCAACACTTGGAGATGCTAGTACCAAAGACAGAAGCAGCTGTGGAATGGAGCTCCTCAAGATCTTTGGAGTCCAGAAGATCCTGAGTCACAGGTGTCTGACACCAAGGTTTGCACTGTTGGACTTTGACTGAGTTCAAGTTTTTCCCTCTTAAGAGTAAGGAAGCAGTTAACTAACTTACTTACTTACTACTTACTTCCTTAAATTTTGCAGGAGCCCACAGTTAGTTGAGAGACTTGGTTATTTTAGAAAAACCTTGAAAGGTATTCTTGATGTTTAAAGAGACTGAACTGTTAAAAGTGCTTGAATTTTTTTTTTTTTTTTATTAAAGACTGTTTAGAGCCAGGCTGTGGTGGCGCACGCCTTTAATCCCAGCACTTGAGAGGCAGAGGCAGGCAGATGTCTGAGTTCGAGGCCAGCCTGGTCTACAGAGTGAGTTCCAGGACAGCCAGGGCTACACAGAGAAACCCTGTCCCAAAAAAAACAAAAAACAAAAACAAACAAACAAAAAAAAAAAAACAAGCTAGAATTATTTGGGAAGAGAAAACTCAAAATGAGAAACTGCCTTCAGCGGATTGCTCACAGGCAAGTTCATGGGGGCATTTTCTTGATTAATCACTGATGTAGGAGGGCCCAGTTCACTATAGGTAGTGGCATCCTTGGGCAGCTGTCCCTGATTGTCTACGTAAGGAAGTAAGCTAAACACCCCAGTAAGCAGTATTCCCCAGGACCTGTTTCCGTCCTCGCCACCACATTTCTGCCCTAACATCCCTCAGTCATGAGGTAACCTGAAAGTTGCAAGCTTAAATAAAATGTTTTCTTCCTGAGCTGCTTTTGGTCATAGTATTTATCACAGCAATAGAAACCCAGCTGACTGTTCTCCCTTCTGAGGCTGTAAACAGTACAGTTAACTTTTAAAAACTGGCCATCGCTGGTTGAAGAGCACCCTCTTGTGTTTACAAGGGAAACTCTCCAAGCAAGTTTAAGATTTCCTTTACTTAAATTTGGGTAGCTTTTTAACTGCTAGTAAAATGAGTGATCACTCATGTTCAGTAGTGAATGCTTCCCTAGCACACTCAGGACCTTCCCTGAATTGGCAGACTCCCCTCCTTACCCTGCAGGGGCATGGAAGCATGCCCAAGTAACTGACTGCTTCATTAAGGGTAGATGTCAGTGGAGCCTCAGAGACCAGGGCTACCAAGATCCATCCATATCATTCAAAAACATTTCATACACAAAACATTTGACTTACCAAACTAGGTTCAGGGGAAGTTAAGTCATGTCCTCCCATTGCCCCTCCCAACTAGCCAAAGGACACACTCTTTCTTTTCCTTTCTTTCTTTCTTTTTTTTTTTTTTTTTTTTTTTGGTGGGGGGGTGGTGGTTTCGAGACAGGGTTTCTCTGTGTAGCCCTGGCTGTCCTGGAACTCACTCTGTAGACCAGACTGGCTTCGAACTCAGAAATCCACCTGCCTCTGCCTCCCAAGTGCTGGGATTAAAGGCGTGCGCCACCAGTGCCAGGCAGGACACACTCTTAGTATCAAGAAAATGTGTCAAGTCGGGCTGGAGAGATGGCTCAGTGGTTAAGAGCACTGACTGCTCTTCCAGAGGTCCTGAATTCAATTCCCAGCATCCACATGATGGCTCACAACCATCTGTAATGGGATCTGATGCCCTCTTCTGGTGTGTCTGAAGACAGCGACAGTGTATCCATATACATAAGATAAATAAATCTTAAAAAGGGGGGGGGGCACC